GTAATACTGATTGACTCCTTACTCGGAAGTTAGTAAAAAATTTGATTGATTAAATTTATAAGCATCAGATAGTTTAAATATATATATATATATATACGAGACGAGATAAAGAAGCCTATTATGGAGTATTATGAAGCCTCCAAAGAACCAACTTTTTTCTTTGACTGAATGGGAGACCATGTAGCACCCAATTATAGACGTCACTTGTACGGCGCGTTCCCTGGGTGCCTCGTGTAACAATAGAAGCCAATCGACCTTTTCTTCGCCTGATTGCATTGTCCAAACAAATTTGTTATCATTCCTCCAGGAATTGGGCGCGGAACTGACGATCTGATCACGAAGACATGTTTTGACAGAATCTCATACTCGTGCCATTCAGCATATGTCTGCATAAAAGACTGGCATTAACGTGTTGTGATAAGATTGATCATCAATCAACTGACAAAAGAGAAACAAGCACAACTTAAGTGAATCAAAATACTCTGTACGAACAAGATCTCTCAGCGAATCAAAAAACACAATAAATGTTGAGAATACTACCATTATTATTTTTTTATTTCTATTATCGATTGAAAATTTTATAAAAGTCCTCGAGATCCATGACCGAGGGTGTCTTGGGGTCGCAATCATTTTAGTTTTACTTTTAGAATAAAATTCCGTCTGGTCAAATAAAGACTTTACACTGAGTTAGATGTAATTTATGACTAAGATGTAACTTATGACTTGATACCCGGTATAAGTCATGATTGATCAACAGTCCTTTAAAGAAGATCAAGGATTGTACAGATTTTTTGTCTAACAACTACAGTGGAGGAAACGCTTACTTTTGTGACATGACATTACAACAAGGAAGGTCTATTTGGATTAAAAATGAAAATTTCTTGTCCGTTTCATTTCCTTTTCTGTTTCTTTTATCTTTCTTTTTTTGTAGAGAAATATTTCATTTTATGATTAAATGATTCCTTACTTCTGATTAGCTGATACATAAATACATACATACATACATATATATATATATATATATATATATATATATATATATATATATATATATATATATATATATATATATATATATATATATATATATACCAGCATTTGTCCAGGTGATTATAATATTTGATCTACTAAGAACCAAACTTCCAGATTGGTACGATTGATTACGTTTTTTCGTGATGTCCAATGAAATCCCAGGTCTCTCTTCGTTTTGTTATGTTTGTTTGTGATGTCCAATGAAATCCCAGCTCTCTCTTCGTTTTGTTATGTTTTTTCGTGATGTCCAATGAAATCCCAGGTCTCTCTTCGTTTTGTTATGTTTATTGTGATGTCCAATGAAATCCCAGCTCTCTCTTTGTTTTGTTATGTTTTTTCGTGATGTCCAATGAAATCCCAGCTCTCTCTTCGTTTTGTTAAGATTTCAGAAGACCTTAACAACCAAAAAAGAACAAATCACTTCACCACTGAATCAAATTATAAAACAATCATTGTTTTTGTTTTGTTTTTATTATTTATTTTAATTTTATGCCCCCGTATCGAAGATTCTGTGTGTCTGTCTGTTTGTCCGCAAAAACATTAACCTTGCTCATAACTTTTGATTGGTTGGAGCTATGACTTTCATATTTCACATGTGTGCTCCTTGTGACAAGACCTTTTTTGGGTACCATCACATTTGACCTTTTGACCTTGACCTTGGAGTTTGACCCACTTTTGCAAAATTTTGTGAGACTTTAACCTTGGCCATAAGTTTTGAACAGTTGGTGTTTGGGGTTTCAAACTTCACATGTGTATTTCTTGTGACAAGACCTTCCTTTGGATACCAACAACTTTGACCTTTTGACCTTGACCTTTGAGTTTCACCTACTTTTGAAAAACTAAAACCTTGGCCATAACTTTTGAACAGTTGGTTCAAGGGCTTTCATATTTAAATGCCTATTCCTTGTGACAAGACCTTCCTTTGGATACCAATCACTTTGATCCTTTGATCAGGACCTAGGAGTTTGGCCTACTTTTGAAAAACTTTAACCTTGGCCATAACTTTTGAAGGGTTGGAGCAAGGGCTTTTATACTTCTCATATGTAATCCTTGTGACAAGACCTTCCTTTAAATACCAACAACTTTGACCCTTTGACCTTGGAGTTTGACCTACGTTTGAAAAACTTAAATCTTGGCCATAACTTTTAAACATTTGGTGCTACGGCTTACACACTTTACATGTGCATTCACTGGGACAAGACTTTCCTTTGGATACCAACAATTTTGGCATTGACCTTGACCTTGGAGTTTGACCTTCATTTAAAAACCTTTAACCTTGGCCATAACATGTTCTAGGGCTTTCACATTTCACAAACGTGTATCACTTGTGACAAGACCTTCCCTTGGGGCCCATTTGACCTTGACCTTGACGTTTTACTTACTTTTTAAATAACTTTAACCTTCGCCATAACTTTTGAACAGTTGGTGCTAGGGCTTTCAAATTTCACAGGTATATTCCTCGAAACAAGACCTTTTTTTGGATACCAACATTTTTGATCTCTTGACCTGGAGTTTGACTTGCATTTGAGAAACTTTAACCTTCGCCATAAGCTGCCATATGGAGGCATCAGTGTTTCACAAACACATCTTGTTTTTTGTGCTTTGTTTTGTTTTCTTTTGTTTTATATTTCAGTTATTATTATTAGTAATCAATGCAATGGTTATGCAACCCTTGAAGCAAGGCCTTTGAACTTGATTACTATTTTTCTCCTTGTAACTCAAATCCTCATTGTGACCTTAAGAGAAAAAGGACATAATATATTTCTATTTAGATGCTATTAATTTGCACAATATGTCAAAGGTAGCGTATGACTAACAAAAAGAAAAGTCACAATATTAAACAAAGGACATTTGAATAAGATCAAGACCAGAGTTTTGGAGCTCAAAATATTAGCTGGTCTATAGTTTCATAAATAGCAAAATATTAGGTCATTTATTTTAAATTTATTTATTTTTCATAAAAGTTTGATGGGTATGGGGTATTTAATGTCCCTGAATACACGTGTTTTAAAAGAGAAATTTCCAATTAAAAGATTATGTCTATTGATTTCTTGTTTTACTTATTATTATTTTTATTATTTTTTTATTATTTCATTTTTGGGGGAGCAAAATAGCATTATTATCTGCTGATATCTAGAAGTGTATTTACAGTCGGAATTAGATTGTATTGAATAAATGGGAGTTCAACATTACCGCTACGTTGCAAAAAAATCCAACTCATTACTACATTTCTTCAAAATTTCGGGTGCTCATTAATAGGACGATTGGCGATTACAACTCAATACCGCTACATACACAAATCTGTGTGCAGTGGCACAGAATATGAGTTTAACCCAATACACGTGTAATTCACTCACGCTGTAGTCGAAATTGAAGCAGAATTAAATACGAGTCTATTCAATTAAATACGAGTCTATTCAATATAATTCATTCAGCCTGTAATCGAAATACAGGAAGATTTTCAAAAATTCTAAAGTGTGAAAATGTGTGGAAAAAACTGCAAAAATGTGCCTTTTAGAAATAAAATGGCAAAAAATTTTAGCAAATAAAGTGGGAAAAATTATCATGCTCAAAGTCTTACTTTCACCCCCACCCCACCCTCGTGTGGTGAGGAGGGGAAACGTCTTATGTTGTATGTATTTTGTACAATACTTGTATTAGGCTATGGGTTACGGAAGAGGTATTGCAGTCGTAATGTATAATTCAAAATGTAGCGAAATTGTATATCTAAATGTAGCGGTAATGTATACTATTTTGTAGCGGTAATGAGTGTGTAGTGGTAATGTCTATTTTGAAAATGTAGCGGTAATATAATGAACCCAAATAAATACTCAGAATTTGATAATGAAAATAAGGCTCAGGAATTTAGAATTTTAAAATTTGCTTTAGATTTAATCTTATGCAAATGTAAATGTTATAATTAAATGTATTTAAGATATTCAGTTTGGATTCCTTCTTTATAAAAAAAAATCCAAACAGAGCAAATTTTTGTGAGATTTGAGTTTTATTTTAATTAGTTTTTTCAATGATAAATGGAGTGAAATGTCCTTATGGTAGAAATCTTCATAGTTGAAAATATTCCTACTGGATTTTAATGTGAAGAACGTCAGTACTTGTATAAGATTTCGACTGTAAGTCAGCTGCTTTTCATGTTAAGACTAATTAATATTCCTGTGTCACTACAACAAAATCAATATCATGAATGAAGTTGAAAATAAAAATATGCAGGAAAACATTTTATGTTAATATTTCATACAGGATGTCGGTATCAGAAGCCGAATACTGGATAGGTTGTTTTAATAAATTTATTTTTGAAGTGTCCAAATAATTAGTTTTGTTAGCTTTTCTTAACTTTCTAATTTACTATTATTGTATCCCCTCTGTGTCCTATTTATGTTCCTTTCATTTTGATGATCTACTAGTTTTTGTATATCCTTAATTTTTGTGTAGTTTTGTTTATCCTTATCATTTGACAGGTCTGTTTTTAGCATTAGAATCCTTTTGAAATAATGACTGTTTTACTAGCCTTGATATCCTTCAAACTTTGTAGAAAATTTGAAAACAGACGCAAAAATAATGAAATATGAGTGTCTTCAAGAATTGACTTGAAAATGTGTTTCTGGCAGACTTCACGTAAATTTGTCTTCATTCTTTATATTTATTATCGTCACAGTGGCTACACATACAATAAATTACTGCTCTTAAACCCGTTAACATTCTTTCGATGGCGGGGGTTTTCTTTATTGTTATGTAATTTTATACACCAGCAGCACATGTGCTTCTCCGGAAGCAGTTCCTGTAGCATTTGTAAGAGTTCCGTTAGAACACATATATCTGCCAAATCAATTAGAGAGTGAGCAGTTTGTAGCTCTGTAATACATACAGTGTTCTCTTCTGATACTCTAAAACACCTCCGGTCGGTAGGTGGCGCGAGCGTCACTTTAACAATATGACTGATCTTCCAGTGATTTGCAATGCCCCACTCTGATCTCATAAGTAAACATTAATCTACGTCTAATTTGACAAAATAAGACCCAGTTCACATATATATGACCGCTATATTCAACAAAATGAGAAAAATCAATTAATGACTGTGAAAGAATTATTTTCCCCTTGTAACATCTGGCTAGAGCAGAGAGAGAAATTGTTGCTCCTTCGGACGTGTGCGAGTTTGTACTTTAAAGTTCCTAAGAAATGACGAGAATTTGTTATTGGATATTATGTTGTTTAATTCTCTTTGTAACTGGAAATGAAGACGCTAAGCGTCTGTATTATGATTTGTTAAAACGATCCTATAACAAACTAATTCGTCCTGTGAGTAATAGTTCGGACAAACTGATCGTGAAGATGGGGATTCGCTTGTCACAGCTGATCGACATAGTGAGTATTCTTTGTTATAGCGACCACTCCTACCTGACCCTACATTGTTGTCCCCCTATTGTATCTTATGTGTAACATCGGAAATTGTTGGGTTTATGCTTCAAAGACATCATTATAGTTTTTGTATATCGGTCAATGATTTGAAAAGTTCCCATTTAGCATTCACAACGTCAATTTACCGTATTTTATTTTAAACTAAAGTTACAGAGTTCATACGGTCTTTTTGAAATTTGTCGAGAGAATATGACAAACAATCATTTATGCAATATTAATCAATTCTGGACATTGGGCTAGGATTTCCTTTTGTAGTATTCCCTCTTCTGTCCCCACTTGAACGTTAGATAATTCTTAACATTACTGTTGGTTTGTTAATTAAAGAGAATCTACATTAAAATCAATGAAAAGACAAAAAGGGCGCGTGCGGATATACTAATACTTCTATAAACTTATCCCATCGCCATGGTCACCACTTGTGAAGTAGAACAGGGGAAGACGGGTTCCCTTTTGTTTTGCAGGTCCAGCTTTGTTGATTTGTTGGAGAATGGCACCAAGATTCCAGCTCCCATATGAATATTCAAAAAGCTTCATTCAAATACACAATTGTAATTGGTTTATGGTAGTGTTATTGATTATTAATGGAGAATAGACACAAGGTCGGCCCAGTTGTTCCAATTATTCCTTTTAAATAGAAAAGAAATGTTTGTCAAAAAACTTTTGAAATCCATCGACGTGTTTTAATTTTGAATTCATTGTTTGGATGTTGATTCAGAAAAAGTTAAGTGGAAGACAGCACTGAGTTTGTATTGATATCTAAACTTTAAGCTGTACGCCATACTTCAGAATATTCTAAATTCATTCATTCCCAAACTAAGAGACATTATTATTCTGAATGACCTTCCTTAAATAAGAATATGTTTTAGGTGATTTTTAACTCTTAAACAGAATTAAAATCAGCCCTTTTCCAAATTTACCTCAAAACAAAAACCTAATTAACTTTTGTGGACATGTACATTGTATTCGTACTATGTATTATTTTTATTCAGATTCATTATTATCTACATGAAAAAAAACAAGAGGCCCTGGGGCCTTAACGGTCACCTGAGTATAATGTAACAATCAAAACAAAACTAGCTGATAATAAAGCTATGTTGCCCAAAAGCAAGAGAAATAGGATGATCAAGGATCAGCAAAATATTAATTTAGTAAATTAGCAAACTTCCTGACCACGGGGTTATGAATTTCAAACTTTTAGAAAAGATTTCCTTGCTCATAACCAGGAATTAGTTTTTCTGTTAAATACTTAGGAACAGAGAAGAAAATTAAAAAAAAATAAAAAATAAATTTAGACTATATATTAAACAGACCCCCCCATGAACCCCTGACCCTGGGGCCACAATTTCACAATTTTGGAAGAGGCATCCTTAATCATCATAACCATGCACTTAGTATATCTGCTAAATACCAAGGAGCAGAGAAGATGTTCAAAGAATTAATGCATTTTCACTATATAATCAATAGAGCCTCGCGCTAACACCAGAACCCCTGACCCAGGGGCCAAGATATTCACAATTTTGGAAAAAGCACCCTTGCTCATCATAACTATATACTTTGTTTATCTGCTAAACACGTAGGAGCAGAGAAGAAAATTTTCAAAGAATTAATGCACTTTTACTGTATAATCAATAGAGCCCCCCTCCTGCAGAACCCCTCACCCTGGGGCAACAAATTTCACAATTTTGGAATTGGCACTCTTGATCATAATAACCATGCACCTAGTTTATTTTTTATATATACAGGGGGAGTGAAGAAGATTTTTAAAGAATTTATGAATTTTCACTATATGATCAACAGAGCCCCAACCTAACTCCAGAAACAATGACCTTGTCAGCAAATACAATTTATCATTGATTCAAATGCTGACTGACGTTTTTCATACTAATTGTTAGGCCATTATTTACACACTGAATTGTCGACGGATTTTTTTCGTTATTTCCCGATCATGACAAGGAGCATACGGCGGGTGTGACCGGTCGGCAAGGGTTGCTCACTCCTCATGGCACCTGATCCCACCTCTGATGTTTAGGAGGTCAGTGTTTGCTCTGCTCCTTTTTTGTATTGTTTAATGGACTTTTGAGCTTGAATACTGTTCATTATCTCCATATATTTCATTCAAAAGGATTAATATATTTGTATTTTAAGGTCACCTGAGTCATTCAGGTGACATATTGCTGTCCGTTTTCGTGCATCGTGTGTTAACATTTGAACATTTTCAGCTTTTTCTCTGAAACCGCTGAACCAATTTCAGCCAATTTTAGCATATGACATCTATGTGTGAAGGGGAACAAAATTTGTGAATTTCATACCCCCTGGGGCTTGAGGAGTGGGGCTAAAACCATTAAGTGATATCTTTAATAATCTTCTTCTTTATTCCTGGACATCAAGGAGTCAAATTGTTGGCATGATTGTTATAAGCATTGAGCATTCCACCAAAATTGTGAAATTCATGGCCCCAGGGTCAGGGGTTCTGGAACAACCAAGACAGCTTACAGAAGGAAAACTTAACTTGGCCTGACTACTTGGGGTACCAACGGACGGTGCCTATTGAACAGTTTGATGGTGTGGACTGTCAGTCTTGTACCCCAAGTAGCCAAGCACAAAGAAAAAAGTTATGAAGTCATAAAAACAAAGGACTTCACCCAAAGGAGTACACATGACAGACCGGACGTACTGTACGTGTACATAAATTTGCGTATTCAAAATTTAGCGCAATCACTGCAACAGTTGTTGGCGAAATATTAAATTAGCGCTATACATGTCCGTGCCGTATATTGTATTTATAAATGATTTCTTAGCGGAATTCATGAATTAGCGCATCGTTGTCTGCTCCAAAGCCGCTAAAATATGAAGTCCGCTTTTTTTTTAAGTACATATACAGTATTCCATAGCGGTCCGGACTTCTTTCTTTACTATTGGTTATAAACTTTCAAATTAAACATGTAACATTGTAAATATGTAGTTTTGCTTTTGTTTGTTTGTTTGTTTGTTTTTTCTCTTATTCCTTTTTTTAATGACCTCGTAACTTTTTTTCTTTGTCCCGATGAAGAGACAGGGCGTCTCGAAAAATGGACAATTTCTATTGTTCGTGTCGTTGGTCACTTTTAGTGCTTTATATATATTTTCATCCATGACTTTGTATCTACTTAGTACATGTAGATTCGACGATTAGGATATCAATAGTGTTGATTTTAGTGCTTTATATATATATATATATATATATATATATATATATATATATATATATATATATATATATATATATATATATATATATATATATATATATATATATATATAATTTTTATTTATTTATTTATTCTAGTGTATATAAATTATAAGATGTACCAAAAGCATTTCTCTATTTTCTTAGATTTTTTAACCCTAAATGTATACTCTTCCTAGTAAATGGGATCATTCTTTACCTATATTAAATCCAATGTCATTTTGGTAAAATAGTAATAGAGAAAAACATAAAAATGTGCACCCTTTTTGTGCACAAAGGGAAATCAAATAAGTACGCTGAGGATAACCCAAGGACCAGCAATTATCAACAATGGTTGTTCTGATGAACAAGTCTTACCAATCTGACTATGATTGATTTAATATCATTGTATGAGTTCATCATTCATATTTTGCACGATTTATTCAATAGTTTACGGTCTATCCTCATCAAATCGTTTCTGATATCCGCTGATTCCCGCGTCAACTCTTCCGGCAGCGTGATAAATTGTCCCTTGTCAAATAAATCCCAAGATCTGTCGCGGAGGAATACATTATAAGGAAATATTTTACAGACCCAATAAAAACATTTGCATACATGTATATAGATATTATTACATTTTTTGTTGTTGTGGGATGAACCTTTTTGTCAATATTGAATTAATATAAGAATAGATTTTCATAAACAAAAAAAACAAACATAATTCACTCTTCCAAAAATGGATTTTTTTTAATTGTGATTTTTTTTTCGGATAATAAAATGCAAAGAAAGAAAAATACACGAACAAATCAATAAGTTTATTGGAAACTATTTAAATAAAAGAAATTTGTCATTATTAAAAGTATAAAAAGACTGAATTACACATTAAGTGTAGCAGATCTTTTAAGTAAGTGGACCGAAGGCACCAACAAGAACCATATAAGTCACTACAGATGACCAAGACACAGGCAATAATTTTCGTTCGAATGTCAACAATCTCTCTCTCTCTCTCTCTCTCTCTCTCTCTCTCTCTCTCTCTCTCTCTAGTGTTACCAGGAAAAGTTTATATTTCTAAATTCTAAACGAGTATACATAACAGGCTTGTAGCAATGTTGAACATTATATGTAATATGAAATCATTCAAAGTTCACAATCATGTGTATTACACCTGTAAATAATGTATCTTTACATTAAAAAATCGTGCTGTTTGCTTTCTATCCTATTTCTAATCATCAAAAATGAATCTTTTTGTTATTTTTTCGTGTTAAGAGCCCACACAGTTTGGAACAAGTGCTTGGGATAAAACAGCTCATTTACTTCACACATTCTTGAGTGCAAAGTACACACGACTAGGATTTCTTAGTTCACTTAGAACGTCACGCAATGTCCTCAAGAGGTGGCTATCTGCTCGGGGTCTCACAGGGTCTCTGTAGAGCCTTAGAAAATCAATGCTGAAGAACTGAGATTTGTGGTTAATCTTCATGTTTTGTAGGATTATATTTTGCTTTAATCTAAATGAAAACATAAAAGCCGGTGAGTCATTTGAACCTAACACCCATATTAAGTTTCCTAGAACTACTAAAAAATCTTATAATTCTAATTATCTAATGAATTGTTATCAAACTATAATATATTTAATTCGAAATTTATGAAACAATAAAATATTAATTATGCAGGAATTGAACATGTAAATTTTGCATCTATCTCCACGTAGTAAATTCAGATTTTACAACATGATAAATTTATGAAGTATATCAACGAATACACTTAAGAAGCGTTAGTTTAAATAAACTTCATTGGCGTATGCATGAAGTCTATTGCGTTTTAAGTCAGCATTTCGTAAATTTTATGGTCGTTATAATGACCTTATTAGCAAATATAACCTATCATGGGGTCGTATTTTGGCTGACTTGTTTCATACCAATTGTTAGGCCTTGTTTTGTACTGAATTGACTACGAATAGTTCCGTCTACCTGAGCTCAAGGGGAGTATCACAGGTCGGCAGGGGATGTTTACTCCTCCTAGGCACCTGATCCCACCTCTGGAATTTCCAGGGGTCTGTGTTTTATGTCCTCTTCACATGTTTGTATTGTTTGTGGATTATTGTTCTTTATTTTTACCTTGTACATTGCAGAAAATATCTGATGTTCGTGAAATGTCTAGGCCACAGTGTCATGACTCCTAAAACTTTACATAAACATTCTAAATATCTGCTCATTTCATCCAAACAAATTGACAAAGAGTCGGGGATGCCATTTAATGTTTTATCCCTCAAATTCCATTAACTGAAGATGAAAACGATATCCAATTTCAGAGAGAATTTTTAAAGAAATAGGAAAACCAATGGCCCGTTTTACAAAAGAACTTACGACTAGGATCAAAATTTAATTCTGCTTATAACTTTCTAATTAACATTATATTGAAAATGGTTTTAATCTTTTTAAAAGGGATGTAGTAAGCTACTTTCACGCCAGCAATTTTAAACAAAATCATTAATTTTGCAAAATTTTACAATCAACTAAAGTTTTTGGTCCTAGTCGTAAGTTCTTTTGTAAAACGGGTCCCAGATCTCTTGAGAACATTAAAACTGTGATTAATATGATGTGGTATGATTAATATGATGTAGTAAATGTTGATGTTTTTGTTTGTTCTATTGTGTGTTTTGTGTCTTTGACAGGATGAAAAGAACCAGATTATGACAACAAATGTTTGGCTGAGACAGGTATTAAAGTGAATTCAGAAAAACTTCAAACGAGGATTTCATTCCGGTTTATCTAATTATGGAGGTGTTTGATAGAGTTAATTACAATGTCTGGGCGCCCAGGCACTCTAGAAACGCGTTCATTCGGGATGATACGATGTTTTTTCATCTTTTTTATTAAAAAAAATTTCAAAGGCAAGTTAATTAATACCGTGATATTACTATCTTGAATTATAAACAGGAACATAGAAATGAACTGGAAATTTATGTATATTTTACTTTTGATGAACGTATTCTTAGCTTTGAAATTAAACAGAATTATTTGAATGAATAATATATCCTGACTATATATAAAGGCGATTCGGTCGCTCAAACGTCATTGTTGGACGATACCGCTCTGTTCACCGCTCCTCTGTTTAGCATCTGTTGGAGTCTTGTAGCATGCACTATATACTTAATTAACCGTGTGTAAATAACAGAAATCATTTCTATAATTATCCATCGCCTCCCCGGAGCTGTCACAGATTCCTCGCATGCATGTCTACACTTAGTTCTCCATTTAAATACCTCCTTCTCTTGCCAGCGATGTCACTTTGATTCATGTTGCTTTCACTTAAGTGGTTAGTACAGTACTTTTATAATATGTATAGTAGATCTCTCGATTCTTTCGAGATGACTGAGTATCAAAGCATACTTAAAATTTTGTGGATTCTGAAGTTGGTATACAGCAAAAATTTTAACTGAAAGAAACCGATATTATTTTACATAGAATTTATTATTAACGTAGACACTTTAAACATGTAGAAGAAAAGTAATATCTATACATATATTCAAATCATTATTCCTAATACCAATTCATTACTGTGTTATACTGATGAGTAGCTTGAATTGATTAGCGCCGTCTCTGCTTTCTCATTAATCTCTGCTATCATCCCTGTAGACTTGATTTCTAATTATTACCATTTTTTAGTCACCTTTATTCTTCGCTGCTTGCTTAGGAGTGGTGTGACTACAAACTTTCCTGTAACCTTGATTACTAATTCTCTGTCACCTTTATTCCTTCTGCTTGCTTAGGAGTGGTGTGACTACAAACTTTCCTGTAACCCTGATTACTAATTCTCTGTCACTTTTATTCCTCGCTGCTTGCTTAGGAGTGGTATGACTACAAACTTTCCTGGAACCCAAGGGAATACGGTGGTGTGGATAGATTGTACGTCCCTGCTAAAGATATCTGGCTTCCGGATATTGTATTATATAATAAGTGAGTAGACAGTCAAGAAAATCCACAAGGTGTAAAAGTCTAATTCCATTTATTTAATTATTGTGATTTTTTTTCAATATTTGGAACTTCTGTTAATAAAATTGACAATTACATTGTGAGAAGAATCGGAGCTATATTTCCCCCGGCACCATATTTTATTCTACATTAATCTTTCTACCCCATGTTAACTAACTGCAAGCTTCTGCACGGCGTGGAAAGGACAACTATTCCTAGCTCACAAGATACGTGGAAGACATTTTAAGAACATTAAAATTCTTCACACATAAAAAGAATAAAATTGTTGTCTGTCACATGCATTGGAAACTTTTTTATATTGAGTTTCCTTCTCCAAAAATGACAATTGTCTTCCATGTTTCTTCGTTTTGATACCATATTGCTCGGGTGGCGGCTGGCTTACTAACAATTAACAAAGGTAAGGTTACTCTACCTTTAACCTCTGACCCTCTATTTACCGGAAGGAGTGGTATGACCAGGGTTTGATCTGGAATCCAGTTGAGTATGGCGGGATTCAGACGATAGAGGTCCCTATAGACGATATCTGGAACCCGGATGTTGTACTCTTCAACAAGTGAGTAGGTTTGGAGATTGTAAGAGTTCTTGTGAGACCCGGGAGACATGGACAAGGACCTTCATTGGATAAAACTTGAAACTAAGGATTACCCTAGTAGTCGTTAAAATATAGGCACACTATCAGAGATGTAGGAATATAACAACTTAATAAACTTGAACAAAACATTTTCTTGATTCAACATTATTTTCTCTCCTCTGATAATATGAACAGGAATATGTAACAGAAAAATGATGTATGGAAAGAAAATGTTGATTGAAATATTGTTCATTCTTGTTTTCTAGCGCTGATGGTAATTACGAGGTTACACTAATGACAAAGGCCATCCTCCACCCAGACGGTAAGGTGGTCTGGGAGCCACCCGCCATTTACAAAAGCTCCTGCATGATTGACGTGGAGTTCTTCCCCTTTGATATTCAGCTGTGCATCATGAAGTTTGGGTCATGGACATATGATGGGAACCAGGTGGATCTTGTCCATCTGTGTGTGTCCGACAGCTCATCTACGGAAGTCATTCACAAAGGGATCGACTTCCGTGATTTCTATCCAAGTGTTGAATGGGACATCCTGGAGGGGTCCGCCCAGAAAAATTATAAACGCTATATCTGTTGCCCCTCCCCCTTTCCAGACATTACGTTTAACATCACAATGAGGAGGAAGACCCTCTTCCACACCGTTAATCTGATCATTCCCTGTGTATCCATTTCATTTCTGACAGTCCTCGTCTTTTATCTCCCAAGTGATAGTGGCGAGAAGATTACTTTATGTATTTCAATTTTACTCTCTTTAACCGTGTTTTTCCTGCTTCTTGCTGATATAATTCCCCCAACATCCATTGTCGTCCCATTAATAGGGAAGTATTTACTTTTTACAATGATACTCGTGACTTTATCCATTCTAGTGACTGTGATAGTGCTCAATGTTCACTTCCGGTCGCCATCTACTCATACAATGGCACCATGGGTCAGGAGAGTATTCCTTAACGTTCTACCGCGGCTTCTTATCATGCGACGACCAAATCTAGACAATGAGCATAGCACAACAAGGGTGATAAGGACATGTAATGGTGTAGAAATGACAGAATCCTATAAACATATGATACGCCGCAGAGCGGAACAGAGGAAATTCGAGAATAGCAATTTTAACGACGAGGACGAACCAATTAGTGTAACAAAGGAGACGGAACTGAGCGTGCGTCGTCGATTTAAACCAGTTCCCCGGGAGATTAAAGACGCCGTGGACAGTGTGTGTTTTATTGCTGAACATCTGAAAAAAGACGACAAAGAAAACTCGGTAAATGGCATTTCTCGTACCCATATATAGTACTTTAAGTGCTAAGTTTCTGTGTATTATGCTTATTTGTATTAATTATTAATTTTATGCAGTGGGATTAACATTTTAAGTGACTGTGAATAATGGTGATTTTATACTCATTTTTAATTGTAGATAAAAGAAGACTGGAAGTATGTGGCCATGGTGCTAGATAGACTGTTTCTATGGATATTTACGATAGCCTGTGTAGTTGGGACTTTTGGGATTATTCTACAGGCTCCCACACTTTATGACGATAGGCGAACTTTAACCCCACAAGCCCCTGACGACAGCTGTATCAAACCCGAATTCTGATTGTGATGTCACAGTATCAAACAGAAGATTCACGACTCTATGAAAGCTCAACAACGATTCAGTAATTTACTTTTGATAAACTTTTGATACACCAATAGGGACATGCTGATTTCAATTCACTACCCCCCCCCCCCATTCCAACATATAGAATACCAAAAGTACTCCGTCAGCTATACACGAAGTACACCAATTAAGTCAAAAAATGTCTTAGTTGGTGTTTGGGTTGCAATTTTCAAAAATCTTATACTCTTAAATATCATGATCTGTTTAAAAGTGTCTTTTACGATAAACTCCAGTCGCTGAAAAGGACACTTAACATATCAGGGAGAGAGAGAGAAAGAAAGAGAGAGAGTAAACGTACATGTATTTATTGTTCCTTTAGTACATCTGTGCCAATAAGATATACAATGTATTGATGCATTTGTTTGAAAATGTGATATCATTAAAGAATATACAATGTTTAAATGTTTAAAACACTATGTAACATCAAACTGACGACATTTCATCGCATATAAGGTATCACTGGATGAAATGATAATCTAAGCTTAATTATTATTAAGTTTGAATCAAAATTTTATGTATAGAGAATTGTCTTTTGTAGATCATACATTTATATAAAAATGTGTCCGTGTTAACCAGTGTTGTTTCTCAAAGAAAAATCAGGTTTGAGTTTTTGTATTTTCCCCCCGTTCAGGACTTAAAGGTAGAAGTAGCTTTTGTTGACATTTATTAATTCTCTGTGTATGTCGGAACGAAATTTGACCATTATTTGAGATAAAAGATAAATTCTTTGATGGAGTTGGCTGTCCTGTTTACCGCAGACAGCAGCAGCTGGTGATACTCCCGCAGACTTTGATCATATTCCGGAGATTAGATTTCCACAGTGGTTCTCTTCCTCCCAGGGTCATCTCTAGACCTCGGGATAAAACTCGGTCAATTAAAGAATCTATTGTACATTTACAGGGTCTAGCTAGTTATTTTAGAATGATTGATTCTTCCAGGGGTCTGCTAATGGATTATTCTTTGTGAAATACTTAACTGTAAAATAATTTTTTTATGTATCCGTTATCTTTTGAAATACAGGGATTCAAAGTATTTTTATGCAAAAATATTTCAGGATTTTCATTTTCTGTTTATTATTTTTTTTCTATTTTGCTAATTATATAATGGAAATGCTAAATGGCTATATTATCTTACTTTATTTACAAAGTGAGTAAGAACATGGCTGGTATAATTTCAGAACAAATTTGATTCCATGTATTATGTGCCAGAAAATGAGGATACCATTGACAGTATTTTGAAATAGAAAAAGAAAAAAATATATACATAGAGAAAAAGAACAACAACAGAAAAAAAAAAACAAAAACAAACTAAAAAACAACAACAACAAAAGGAAATTAAAAGAAAAAACACTGAATACCACGTTGATATGCATATAACTAAGGAGGTATTTTTGTCATTTGGACAAGTGGTTAACAGTCCCGGACTATAACATCCTTGGGTAAAAAATACTGAACACTTGCGGACCATATATATACAGCTATAAAGAGACACAGTGCCGTAAAAACGGGAAAATTGAATTTTAAAAATATATATATAAGCAGTGTGTCCAGTTTCTGCATTGGTAGTGTACGTACTCGTCGTGATATTTGAAGTAAATGCAGTTGTATAACTTACACGTGAAAAAAAATATTTAAAAACACACTCTTGCCCAAGACGAAAACTTACTTCTTTTGAGTGATTTACATACAAACCACGCCAGTCAAAATAAGCTCATTTAAAAACCAACAGAATCAGACATTTAAACATGGAAGCAATCACGGCTAACGATATCCACGCCGTTATTAACAGCGAACATTCGCTTAAGCAAATTCTGTACCAATCAGCTATATCTACTCACTAATTGATCGCTGCTGATTTGAAAACAAACACGGAGAGATCTTTACAAAATATTCCTTGTGCCGACTCGGGTTTGTACAGCTTCACTGCCGGAAGAAGTTTGTATCCATCGTGTGTTTAAGCTTGGTTAGTGTCTCATTAAAACTGAAACCAAACAAACAAGCTTATTGAAAGACTAAGGTGTACATGTACTGATGAAAATACGTTTTTCTACACCTTTTTTCATGTTTTGTACCCATCATCAAATACTGGATTCAAACTAGAAGAAGAAAACGCCGGTAAAGATACTGTGTCTGATATCTTATCGTTTGATTGTTTTTTTGATGATAAAACACTTATCAGACAGGTGGCGCTGTGATATTGGTTATGACATATGGTGAAATAAAAGTGATAACGAGGTTTATAACATATGTTGGGGTCGAGACCCACAGACACGTTTGTTTTACTTCTGAAATCACAATAAACCTTATTTTGTAAGTCGCACGCAGCGCCGTGGCGGTTAGATAAAAAATATGCAAGTAACGGTACACGAGAACATCGAAATCACAGAATATCGGAAGTTAGCTGTCTCTGTTTTTGTCTGTTTTAGCAAAATAGAGACAGCGAAATTTTACAAACCGAGGCAGATAAAACAGAGATGTTTAATTGTTTTAGTTGGCACATAATTCAGTACCTGTCCGAATAGTGATTTGTTAGGAATGTATGCTGTTCAAAGTCTGTATCAGTTCTAGGTAAGGTACTTAAATGAGAGATACTGGTCGAGGCTTAAGGCGAGAGCGCTAACTCGAGCCGCGCCGGACCCAGCCCCGCTCTCTACATGTATCTTTCATAAAATAGGAAACGAGCATTCCCGATGACTTGTGACACGACCCTTCCGATGACCTCTGAAATTAACATGTTTATATGGGTTTTATTTTTCAACTTAGTGTTTATTCGCGTTTTTATGGCGTCGATGTAGCAGAGCTCGAACGTCATCTAGGTAGCGCCGTATCGAAATCGCCACCGGAAGTTTACGTAACCAAAGGTGTCAGTTGATGCATCCGCAAATAAAAAACAGGAATACCAATATATATATTTCTTCGAAAATGCTCACAATGAATGATAACTTAAAAATAAAATTGCATCAATTATATCTGCTTTGTTTATTTTTACACAAGAAAAATTTGATAGTTGTCGCGGATGAATTTCTGAAGAAAGCGGTGCGTCTAATCACATGAATAACATTTCGGAAGGATAACCATGTAAAAGAAACAAACCCACCAGGCGGTAAAATAATTACAAACTTGCATAAACACGATTACTAGGAGATTAAGAACATCGGATTTCAAAATTTCAATCTTAATTTTAAATTTATCATTAAACCCGAAGTTATCGACCTCCATTACTGTATTTCTTTATTTCCTCAATTTCGTAATACATGTATACAATTCCCGATCGTAACTCGTAGTCATAACAGAGAAGGTGAAACGCTTAAACAATGCTAAGACATTGACTCTAAGAATATTATATAAAATTGTAAAATCCTTCAGTTTCTCAACTGATTGAAAAACATTTTTAACCATATCTGGTCTATTCGAACCCTGCTCTATTCGGACCATAGCATAAGGCCCAAAATTGTAATTGTAACATTTCGTTTAAAGATAAAATTTTATATCAAATTCAGAAAGAATTTTTGCAATTGTTTTTCAACACTGAAGCCTTTCAGGCTTTTGATTTTTAAATAAGCGTCGATTTTTTATACAAAACATTTTTGAAATTATGTGGGAAATGTATTTAAGGCAAACTTGTTTCGAGTTTAAAATTATATGAAACTTTATTACTTAGTGTTGAATCAACTTTGTCCAAATCATGACCTTCAGGGGTAGGGTGGGGCCACAATAGGGAATCAAAGTTTTGTAAACATGGGAATGTACAGTAAAACACGCTTATAACGTGCCTGGGATGGATGTTTTGCTTCGTTAAAAGTGTAATTGCTTATTTCCGTTAAGTTTACAATATATTTTAAAGTTATGAGGAATGAAAATTGCTTCGCTGTGAGCGTCAATTCATTATAAGCGTGTTCGCTATAAGCATGCTTTACTGTATAAGAAAAATTCCTAAAATCTTCTCAAGAACCACGGGCAACCTATCATATTCCAAAAGATTAATTGAATTCTTCTTAAAATGTAGGAGTAGTTAGATTAAGAAGAAAGTGTGACAGACGGACGGACGGACCAGGGTAACAACAATATACCCGAACCTTCCTTAGAAAGTGTGAAAAACGAACAACATTACAAAAGCAAACAAAACAATGATCAATACAAAATCAATCAAAACAATCAATACAAAAGCAAACAAAATAATCAATACAAAAGTAAACCAAACAATCAATACAAAATCAAACAAAACAATCAATACAAAATCAAACAAAACAATCAATACAAAAGCAAACAAAACAATGACCAATACAAAATCAATCAAAATAATCAATACAAAAGCAAACAAAACAATCAATACAAAATCAATCAAAACAATCAGTACAAAATCAATCAAAACAATCAATACAAAATCAAACAAAACAATCAATACAAAATCAAACAAAACAATCAATACAAAATCAAACAAAACAATCAATACAAAATCAAACAAAACAATCAATACAAAAGCAAACAAAACAATGACCAATACAAAATCAATCAAAATAATCAATACAAAAGCAAACAAAACAATCAATACAAAATCAATCAAAACAATCAGTACAAAATCAATCAAAACAATCAATACAAAATCAAACAAAACAATCAATACAAAATCAAACAAAACTATCAATATAAGGCATGACATACAATCCAACGAAAAGCGAATAAAAACCGTCATTACTAAAGCAAACAAAACAATGATCAATACAAAATCAATCAAAACAATCAATACAAAATCAATCAAAACAATCAATACAAAATCAATCAAAACAATCAATACAAAATCAAACAAAACCACCAATGCACAAGCAAACACAAACTTAATACAAAACTAAACAATCAATATAAAAGCAAAATAAATAGTCTATAAAAAACGAACAAAACATTTTAAAGCAAACAAACCATCAATGCAAAAGAAAATACAACATAAATATAAAAGCAAACAAAACAATCAATACAAAAACAAACAAACAAAACGATATAAAAGCAAAATAAACAATCCATCAAATAAAACAATCGATTAATACAAAAGTAAACAAAACAATCAATATTAAAGCATTTTTTTGCAGATCAAATCTTTTTTTGAGCTTTTGTTACATTTTACAAGTTACTCAGTATATTTCTTAGATATATTTTGATTACTTTTCAAGCGCCCTCAAGGGACAGCACGCGTTGTACACATATTCATGTATAGAGAAAGAATGTTGATTGTAAAAAATGATTTAAAATACATAGCGCAGTCTAAAACACAAATTGGGATTGGTTACAGATGTTCTTCAAAACACATTTGATTTACAGTTGCATTTGAAAATTTGCATCTTCAGAACATTACATTTGATATAAAAAAATCTAAGACAATTTAACACAAATGAATCTCGGGGATGAATGTTCTATACACGTTTAAATTTCGATTCTTAGTGAATTGTCAATGGGCAAAAATAAATAAATAAATAAATTTACGCAAAATAAAACCTTAGAATTACCCATCTCCGTCAAATGTGAATCCCAGTTTCTAATGATAGATTTCGTTTTGCTTGTCAAGAAGTTTGGCAGTCTTGTTTTGCTTTCCTTTCAAATACCTGAATCCCCCCCCCCTTTTCCTTGTACATATATACTGTGTATTTCTGGATTCTGTGTCAAGTTCAAAGAATTATGACATCCATTATCTAAGCTTTGTTAGTTTATAAAATTATCAAAGAAATATCACCTACAAGAAATCATATAACTTATTGACATTTCCATTTCATAGAAGTTGTTCTTACAGGACACTCGATATGACAGTGTTTAAGTTGGTCTTATAGTTGACTCGATATGACAGTGTGTGGCACGTCCACATTGGGTTCTTCTCTGAATGAGAGATGCAACGAATATGCAGATTTGATGATCACGATTAGACATCTGTGTTCGCTCTGAGTACTTCTTATTAAGATGCAAATTTGCTGTTCTTTCTGGAAATGAATGTGGGTTTTTTTTATAGAGCAGTCTGAGAGAAGATTTTTGAAGAATCGGGATCCGATTGTCGTTCCTCATTATCAACAGTTGGAAATGACACAAAGAATGGCACACTCTAATACTCCCGTCCAATTATTGTTTCCAAATTCAGATTTACTAGAATTTGCATTAATGATTTGTTTAAAAAGACACAGCGGGTATTGATTCCTAGGAACTCTGTTAAATCCGGCCAATTCCATGTATCATATGGTCGTGAAAGAAACTTGCTTACGTCACAATGAAAAAGAGAATTAAGTGTACTGACGAAAGATGAAGACTGGCCTTTTTTCTTTTTATTTCAAAATGAGGATATCATGTTTAAAGCATCACTGAGAATTTAATAAACAATAAATTTTTTAAATATTTTTTTTTTGAAATAACTACGATAATTTAAGCTTCAATTAAATATACAGCTCTCAACGTCAAGTCATGACAGAATACGATAAACTTCATTTTGTCGTAAATTTTGCACATATTGCCATAAAAGTAGTCCTAAATGATCAATTCAGTGGGTCACCAGGGTTTCCCCTGGATCATGATTTCAGCTGAATTGTTACTTGTAGAGCCGGGCCCTAAGCATTTCGAATATCAATTTCCCATCAGCTATTGTAGAAGGAACATTATCACTCGATCTCGAAGAAACGTGGTATAACATGATATCATGTATAAAAAGCAATTAGTGATGAAATGGTCAAAATTCAACATACCAAAAAAGCACAAAAAGTTAAACATCTAAATTTAAAACAGGGCTTTGTGTTTGTGTAAAAGGAGGAAAACATAAGGATCAATAGCAGGGTTGGGGAAGAGTGTGTCTAATAAACCAACATGGAGAACCGTCAGGATAGAACTTCGAAAGTGACAATTATTGGGCTGTGTGAAATGCTGCACTTCCTGATTACGTAAATTTCTTACACAAACATAACAGAATCAACGAGAAGATAAAGATGGCGGGGAGAGACTTCCGGACCCTGCTTCTAGCAGTATCCTGTTTGTGGACACTAATCGGGGACATTGTATTGTGTTCTACTGAGGAGGAGCAACTGATCCATAAACTGTTAGGCCACACCTACAATAAACTAGTGCGACCACGCGGCGAGGGCATCAACGGGACACTTAAAGTGAAAATAGGCATGAGGTTATCACAGCTGTTGAATATTGTAAGTAAACTCTCGGTACACAGATAATGAGCGGTTTGTTTTAATAAGACTAAAAGGCAGATTAAAATCTGTTGTTATTGTCGGTCGATCTTTGACAATGAGAGATATATAAACAGACTACTCTCCTTATTGTTGTAGGGGTTTAACTTTCAACGAATGTTATATACTTGTAACATAAGGCCATCAATCAATGTTTTTTATAACATCCGTTTATCAGTCAATATATGTAACATACGGATATCTGTCGGTGAATTCGATTTTGATGTAATCTGTAACAGTCGGTATTGTTAAACGTGGTCCAAAATAACATCAATTTACAAATAAATATTGTAATTTAGAGGTACAACAGTTTAAAACTCTCTCTTATTATTCGTCTTCTGTCAGTTTAAGTACGCATTTACTTATATTTAATGACTCTGAAACAATTTGAATAGGTAGGTTTCTAAAACATATCCTTCATACCTTTTACATAAAGTCTGTTTGCTTAACAAGAGCTGAGAGGAAAATTGCAATTTTAAAGAACTCGAATGACCTATTAATTCTATTTATAGGACGAGAAAAACCAGATTATGAAGACGAGTGTGTGGTTACATCAGGTGAGCAATTAGAGAAACAACAAATTCCAATCAAATTACAGCGGCTTCAAAAACACTGCAACAATAACCGTCGCTAAAAGAAACCCAGACATTTTTTCTTGTTTATTGTTATCCTTAAAATACATATAAATCGTCAACAATGCATGGAACTTCATTCTTAAAGAAAAATTAAAGAAAAAGCCCAAGTACCTTTTAAAAATAAGGAGACTTTTCGATCGAAAATTTGAGGCTAAGGATTTAAGATGATCGTTTTTAATCATAATTTGCAAATCTTTTGAAACAGGAGTGGTTCGATAAACGTCTGATATGGAACCCCCAGGACTTTGGGGGGATTAATATGACCCAGATACCATCTACTGATCTTTGGAAGCCTGACATAGTATTATACAACAAGTAGGTCAACAAAAACTGTTCATTTGATGAAAAAATAGCGGGCATTTAGTGGATTTCTTTATATTATGCCTATATAACGTAATAAATCGTGCAATGTGTCCATATATCTTAATTGACTATGCGAAAAGTTATAGTACAAGTATCAAAAGCACACTACTGAATCCAGTCAAAAGTTTGGTATGTGTTATGAAAAAGGCCCGTAGGAAGCAATTTCACTTTGAGGGGGCACAACCATACATTTTCAGTTGGGGGGGGGGCACTATCAACTACCTTGTCAAGCAAAAAAAAAAAGGTCATAAGACGTTATTATTGAGGGGCACAAGCATATAGTAGCTATATTTTCTATCCATACTTATAAATTAATAAAGTTTGCAAATAAACTTCGAAACAGGTGCACCAGAGTTCTTACTCACTCTTTTATGAATACACTAGATACAAGATGATTTAGATTTCACTCGCATAGTAAGTATCGTACATTAAATTAAAAGTCTACTTTCATTTTCTATAAACAGCCATGAAATAGCAAAAAACGTGAGTACGGTGGTGTTTCCGGTTGGCGGGTCTAAGTTACCGGCAATTTTAATGAAACTGACAACAAGCAATCGTTTATTTATTTCATAAAACGTTATTACTGAATTATTCAATCAAAACTTGATTTAAATGATATAAAAGAAATAAGTTGTGATAACCGATTAAAAAAGTAAATGTGCAAATTATTTTCGTCATTCACTGATCTTAAAATTGACGGAAGCTTCTAGAACATCACATAGCATCGAGCCCGATGTTAAAAAGAAAAAAAAAGCTTTTGTGTGAATGGTCATTGAAATAATGGTAAATCATTGATAACATTATAAGTTGTGAATATATTTATGTATCGAAAGACTACATATATGTAGTAGGTTTTCCTAATAAATTTATCGGTAAAATTTGTATATATTCCTCAGTGAGAGCATCATGACAACGAACCCGAAGTACAATTTATACTTCGTATAATAAACTTGCTTACATGAAAAGAGAAAAGTAATGAATAAGGTATTGTTCAAATACAATTAGAGCTGTAAAATTTTGTGCTTTAATCAATACATTTCAGTTGTTATTTCTGAATATACAGTCTTTTGTATCAAATACTCGACCTATTCATAGGGCGTTAAAAGCAAAATTATACACAGGTACTTGAGTCTTGGTTTATAAATATGTAAGTACCTTATTGATATGTAAAAAAAAAAAGTAAAGTAAATTTTTACATATCAATAAGGTACATACATATTTATAAACCGAGACTCAGGTAACTGTGAATTCCCCCCCCCCCTCACGGGCACCCCCCCCCCCAAAAAAAAAACAATCAGTAAAATGTGCATATTCGCTGCTTTTTCCTTGACGGATATGAAATAAGAGCATTTGAAGTACAATTACCATAACATAGTATAACAGGTTTCACAATAAATGTCAATTAATGAAATTGTTATTTTTCAAGCTTTTACAAAAGGGGGTGGGGGGGTGGAGACGTACATCTACTTCATGTGGGATTTTGAACAAAGTATTTCTTCCTGCTATAAGCCTGTAGGCTGTCAGTAGAAACTACAATATATTTTCTGTCGGTAGTGGTATAAATTCATTTCCCCGCGCTTGCGCGGGATTTCATCTAGCAGTATTCTATATATCGGCAAAATTATTGGGGGACACGCCCCCCGTGCCCCCCCCCCCCGGTTCCTACGGCCATGTGATATACAAAAAATTCAACATGATGTTAAATTTACTTCACAGAGAAATTAAGTCACAGTTTCTTTTTTTCTTTTTCTAGTGCGGATGGTGATTTTATCGTGACACATAAAACAAAAGCCAAAGTTTATAATACAGGTAAAATTGTGTGGGAACCGCCTGCTATCTACAAGAGTTACTGCCCCATAGATGTGGAGTTCTTTCCCTTTGACAGACAGGAATGTTTTATGAAGTTTGGGTCCTGGACTTACGACATGGAGCAGATCGATCTGGAACACATTTGTGACGAGAAAGCTATAACGTACATTGTTGGCGACAAAGAAGAGCGGGTGATCGACAGAGGGGTGGATTTAAAAGACTTTTATTTCAATGTTCAGTGGGACATCATTAATGTCACGGCTACGTGGCGGGAAAAGTCCTTTCCTTGCTGTGATGTGTCCTATCCTTTTATAATCTTTAACATCACTCTCCGCCGACGTCCTATGTTCTATTCTCTCAACCTTATTATGCCCTGTCTCTCCATTTCCGGTCTCACGGTCCTGGTCTTCTATCTACCATCCGACAGCGGGGAGAAGATTACATTGTCCATCTCTATACTCCTGGCTCTCACTGTGTTCTTTCTGCTACTCTCTGACATTAATCCGCCAACTTCCTTTGTTATACCACTTATCGGGAAATACCTTCTTTTTACAATGATTCTTGTGACGTTATCGATATTTTTAGCAGTCAGCTCCATAAGAATCACGAACCGGAAGCCTTCAACTCACAATATGAGTCCCTGGGTAAAGCGAGTATTCACAGATATACTTCCGAGTATTTTGAGAATGAGAAGACCAGGAAGTAAGAAAAACATCCCTTCTGTGATAGGGGGTCTGATTCATTGTGTCAGGAAGGACTACCATTGCTCTCTTCATTTACTGACCCCAAATGATGAAAATAAACCTATTTCTGGTGAATTCCTGGGATACCCGAAACATGTGCAGCGAGCTGTGATCGGGGTTAAGTTTATAGCTGACAACCTCAGGAAAAACGACGAAGTAAAAATGGTTAATAATATTAAGTCATTTACCTTCTCATTTTCTTGATGGAATATAAAATTAACATTAATATTATTATTAATTATATTTCATGCAATTTCATCGTAAAATGCTTATCATCTGGGAACACATTGTTTCTACAAAACCGAGTTTGTTTGACCACTTAGATATAACTATTTAATGTTTGTTTGACCACTTAGATATGACTATTTAATGTTTGTTTGACCACTTAGATATGACTATTTAATGTTTGTTTGACCACTTAGATATAACTATTTAATGTTTGTTTGACCACTTAGATATAACTATTTAATGTTTGTTTGACCACTTAGATATGACTATTTAATGTTTGTTTGACCACTTAGATATGACTATTTAATGTTTGTTTGACCACTTAGATATAACTATTTAATGTTTGTTTGACCACTTAGATATGACTATTTAATGTTTGTTTGACCACTTAGATATAACTATTTAATGTTTTCCTTTGATGCAAAAGGTGAAAATAACGAAAATGATCAACCTCATAAATCCAGTGAAGAATACGAATCGTGAACAGGGCATGCGCAGTAACACGGACCCCAGGAAACACGGGGGGTGGGATCAGGTGCTTAAGAGGATTAAGAATCCCCTGTCGACAGGTCAAAATGTTATAAAAACAATGGCCTGGTCTAACAATTGGTGGGAAACGTGTCAGTAAAAATGCGACCAATTTGCAAAAAAGGTCATTAAAACGACCATAGATTTGCAAAACCCTTACTTCAAACGACATAGTTGAAAACCCTGTAACATCAACTTATTTGTCAGTAACTTGCCTCTCTTTAAGATTGATTTTACTCGGAGCTTGCTTTTGAATATCAAATCAGTTGGGTAACATAAATACCATATGCAGGTGAATGATGAAAATTGCCACAGAAATAGGGATAGTTGACGATGGAAAAGTTGAAGTCATCCCGTTTGTCATAAAATTTAGTGTTATAGTTGATCATTGGCTTTTATAGTCGGTAAAATATCCAAGTATGTATCAGATGTGGGAGACTCTGTGGTTTCTTTTATTTCGAGTTCATATATCGAGTTGACGTTTGAATGAAAATAACTATTGTTAATCAATAAAATGCCGTCGATATATCGAAAGGTTGAATTGAAAGCCACAGTAAGAGGTTTCTTCTTCTCATGTAGAATTTTCAAAAAATAATCTGCTTCAAAAGAATTTAAAAATAGGTCGGGTAATAAAGGAACACAAAAAATGTCAATCGAAATTCAACAGATTGTTAGAGGACCTGGTCTCCGAAGACTACATAAATGTTGTCAATGAGCAACTCCAGCATCTTTTTCATATCAACTTCAGTGTACTTGTGTGTAGAATCAATGATTTTTTAACGAAGTAATTTTGTAGATGACAAATCACAAGTATGAAAATTTACGAGTTCCATTGTTTTTGAAGAAGCAGTTGTCTACGATGTCAAAAAGCCTGCTCTTTAATTTATCTTTAGAAGTGGTTGTATTAACTTGAAAAGTCATGCTATCGATTTTTGAGAAAAAACAAACATGGTTTTAAATTTTCTAAAAGATCTTTGGAGTTTTTGACTAAATTTGATTTGCACCACTTCTTCAGTATGTTGTAGCACAGTACGTCCATCTAAGTTATGTATTAATCTCTCTTTATTTCTTAACATTCCTCTCCCAGTATCTAATTTATGTAATAACCTCTCGTTCTTTTTGTTTAACATTCCCCTATTTTTGTTTAACATTCCCCTCCCAATATCAAAGTTATATATTAACCTCTCGTTATTTTTGTTTAACATTCCCCTCCCAATATCTAAGTTATATATTAACCTCTCGTTTTCCCCTCCCAATACCTAAGTTATGTATTTAACCTCTAGTTCCCCCCCCCCCAATATCTAAGTTATTTATTAACCTCCCGATCTTTTAGTTTGTATTAACCTTTCGTTCTTTTTATTTAACATTCTCCTCCCAATATCTAAGTTGTATTAACCTCTCGTTTTCCCCTCCTAATATCTAAGTTATGTATTAACCTCTCGTTCTTTTTTTTAATAGGAAGAGTTGGACTGGAAATATATCGCTATGGTGGTGGACCGACTCTTTTTGTATTTGTTCTCTGCAGCCTGCCTCTGTGGGACATTGACTATATTTTTGTATGCCCCTTCGTTACATGACCCCCGGGACGAACTAACTCTTCAGGACAACACAGAGGAATGTCTTTATTGACGCAATAAAACACTGGATTTCATCGCATCATGATCAAATATGTTTTACTAGAATTAGAGAAGATCTTATTCAAATAAAAAAATAAATGCGCATTTAACATAACAATAATTATATTTAAGACATAATAAAATTGTGTTGTACAATTTCTCTCGACCCTTTCCTTTTTTTATCAGTGGGTGCCTAAATGCTTCCGAAGCAAAGTAACCTAAAAAATGAATTTCTGGACGATCGAATTAATTTAAGTTTTGAATAAAACTGTGACAGAATTTCCTCTGGGGATCCATTGTTCAATTGTCATTGATATACACACACATACATATATTTTTCTCCAATACAAAGCGTTCATGGTCTAACAATATTTTAAGTATATCTTTATTTCACGATTCGTCTGTCTATCAGACACGCCTTCATCTAATTGAAAATCAGCACAACAGATTATTGAACAGAAAATCACAGGTTGTATTTCCACTCTTGTTGAAAGAACCATTCTCTGTATTTCCACTCTTGTTGAAAGAACCATTCTCTGTAACCCGACTCCGCCCACTTTTCCTGATCGTCCTCTGATGTATACGATTAAATGAAAGCCTTTATTTGATATTTACAAATCCTTCTTTTACTTGACAAATCTCATGAAAGTGTTAAAAAGATTTCTTTTCTTTTTCTATTCCCCCCTGAGTCAATATTGATTGTTATAGGCAGCTCCTAGGTGCACGGTATGAAGTGTCTTAAGAAGGTGGTCTTAGTTAATTACGTTTAAGTTAAGCTAACTCGAGTAAACCATTCAAGTAAAAATTAAAAGTTTACCAAAGTACAGATATAGAAAGAAACGTATTAAAGTTCTATACTAATTTGTTGAAAGTGAATGTATAATTAACATTCTTTTAAATTTGACAGACATTGAACACGGTGTCACATGGACATTTCTGCGTCTAGTTAAAAGTCAATGCCTAAAAGTCTCCCATCGATTAGTTGCGGGAAGACGTCGGTTTTGTTTTCGCGTTACAAATAAACTTTTTGATTCTCGTTAAAGCGAGCTGAAAAAAAATAGAAAAGGACCATGTCGGTCGATAAACGAGAGTCTCTTACAACTTTTACTTTAGTTTTATGCACCTTCTTCGTGGAATAGTAGAACAATATGTCAATTCAAAGATATTTTGATTTGCCTCCAAAAATATAAAAGAGTAATAAATATCCAATTACGATGTCATACACAGATAAGTACATTACTTAGGATAGCACTCAACTTCTGATGTGTTGCGTAACAGCTGCTCAGAGGGGAAACTATCTTGTGTATTCTTAGTAAACTTGCCGCTGGTGCTATAGAGCTGCTAGATCGGCGTGTGTAACAACAGAATCTACCAGCACGGAATCGCGCAATTAGTAAGAGGGGTGAGGAGTCATTTTTTGTCTACATAAACAAACCACATAGTGTCAGCAATCTAGACTGTGATATATTGATACAGAAGCTACCAATCTCAATGAACTGCATCTTACACCAGACTTCTCTAATGACAGTCAAGAATCCCGTCGCCTTTGGGTACCGAGTACAAACCGACATTGATTTTAACTTGATTCATTTCAACTGCGTTCAAAGGACGAAGTATTGTGTCTTCGACAATTAAATTCAGTCATGGATATGTTATTATGTTTGATAGTGGTTCTTGTGGGCGAAGTGGGTGGTTCCCTCAGCAACAATGAACCAGCTGAAAAGAAACTTCATGACCATATCCTGGGGAACCACTATAGCAAGTTAATCCGACCCACGGGAAACAGTTCGGTCAAACTAACAGTCAAACTAGGACTGCGCCTGTCACAGCTTCTGGAGATTGTGAGTAATCTTGGGATATGTTATAAAACCGGTATATATATATATATATATATATATATATATATATATATATATATATATATATATATATATATATATATATATATATATATATATATATATATATATATATATATATATATATATATATATATATATATATATATAGATAGATAGATAGATAGATAGATAGATAGATAGATAGATAGATAGATAGATAGATAGATTAAAAATAACAAGGCAACAATGTTAGTAAAACGCAAAACGCAAGCGCTTTCATTACTTCTCCAGACGTTTTACATTCCAAAACAATTCAAACGTGTTCATAGTGATGGTGAATTTAGTTGTCAAGCTTCTGGAATTGATAACTTTCTATCAGAATCGTTGTACAGAAAAGATTTACCTTACTTTTTGATATTTTTATTAAGTCATGGTGAATATAAACATGATGAACAACAGAACATTGTATTTATCAAGAAAGAGTGTGTTTCTCAGGTAGAAGGTATATTTAGAGCACATTTGCTATAAATGTTCTAATATTTGGCGAAAATACATTACAGCTTACTACGAGGTCTCTTTTATTCCTTGTTATCTGATTGTCGCGTTTCATTGTGAAATATTATTTATTAAAATGAAAAAAATGGCAGCATTTTTAGCGCATCCTTCTGACTTTCTTTCGTTAATGATAGTTTAGCTGTATTTTGGAATTCAGAGTAATATCATGTTGTAAATTTTGCATTTACTTCCTCTAGTAAATTCAAAATTTACAACATGATAGTAATGTGGAAAGTCTCTCCTCTGAAAAATATGCCGCCACTTTCTGTTTTATCTTATTGAAGAAAAAATATCTGTTGAAAACCAAGCTGACACATGTAATGGAAATGTTACTGGGGAAAAAATCAATCATTTCGATTGTGTAAACATATTGAAATATAAGGGTGTGACAACATCATATTATTGAAAGTACGGAAAGCAATCTTAATTTGTATGTAAAACCTGACTTTTACATTTTGCTGTGTAAAATCGTCTAATGTAGATACAAATTAAAGAGGTATACAGCGCACGTAGTACATCAAATAGCCTAGCTACAATATAGCGCATTTGCAACCATCCAAAAAACCGGGGGTATTTCAATATTTTATGATATGAAGTAAATCTAGCTATGGACAAATTCGGATTATACCAGTACTTGGCAAAAACAGTCTTAATTATATCAAACAAGAGCAATGAATTTTACAGATTTTGTATGAGATATATGGAGATCTATTGAGTGAGCATTGAAAAAATACAGGTTTTTGTATTTGAACCAACTTAAACCAGAGAAATTTTGAACGGGTTACGTTCTTTTGATATCATAGTAGATATTGTTATATCAAAATCGTTTTGGTTTAACTTGGTCTTCATATTGAACATTCTATATATACTTCAGGTATCCTATTTTCCGAAAGACTCTTTACACGGATATCTATACTTATAAATTAATAAATTTTGCAAATAAACTCCGAAACCGGTGCACCAGAGTTCTTACTTACTCCTCTAACAATACACGAGATACAAGATGATGTCCGTAAACTATATTTAGATTTCACTCGCATAGTAAGTGTCGTACATTAAATTAAAAGTTTACTTCTATTTTCTATAAACAGCCATGAAATAGCAAAAACGTGAGTACGTTGGCGTTTCCGGTTGGCGGATCTAAGTTAGTGGCAGTTTTTAATGAAACTGACAACAAGCAATCGTTTATTTATTTCATAAAACGTCATCACTTTATTATTCAATCAAAACTTCATTTAAATGATATAAAAGAAATAAGTTGTGATAACCGATTAAAAAGGTAAATGCGCAAATTATTTTCGTCACTCGCCGATCTTAATATTGACGGAAGCTTCTAGAACATCATATAGCATCGAGCCCGAAGTTAAAAAGAAAAACGAGGCGATTATAGCTGCATGAAAATAAAAAAAAAAGCTTTTGTCATTTTGGTCATTGAAATAATGGTAAATCATTGATAACACTATAAGTTGTGAATATATTTATATATCGAAAGACTAAATATGTAGTAAGTTTTTCTAATAAATTTATCGGTAAAATTTGTAACTTTATCGGTAATTTGTATTTTCCGGCTTACTGAGAGCATCGTGGCAACGAACCCGAAGTACAATTTGTACTTCGTAATAAACTTGCTTACATGAAAAGAGAAAATTAATGAATAAGATATTATTCAAATATAATTAAAGCTGTAAAATTTTGTGCTTTAATCAATACATTTCAGTTTTTTTCTGAATAGTCTTTTGTATCAAATACTCGGCCTATTCATAGGGCGTTAAGCAGCTAATTTTTACACAGGTACTTGGGTCTTGGTATATAAATATGTATGTACCGGGTACCTTATTGATATGTAAAAAAAAAAAAAGGTAGAGTACATTTTTTACAGATCAATAAGGTACATACATATTTATAAACCAAGACCCAAGTACCTGTGAATTTTTAACACCCTCCCCCCCCCCCCCACATCAATTTATCAGTAAAATGTGCATACATGTGTATTCGCTCCTTTTATCCTTGGCGGAAATGAAATAAGAGCATCTGAAGTACAATGTCCATAACATTATATAACAGGTTTCACAATAAACGTCAATTAAATGAAATTGTTATTTTTCAAGTTTTTACAAAAAGGGGGTGGGGAGGGGGTGGAGACGTACATTTACTTCCTGTGTGATTTTGAACAAAGTATTTCTTCCTTCTATAAGCCTGTAGGCTGTCAGTAGAAACTACAATATATTTTCTTTCGGTAGTGTTATAAATTCAATTCCCCGCGCTTGCGCGGGATTTCATCTAGTACACACACACACACACACACAAAAGACACAGAAATTATCAATAGCGTGCGTAGCCTAATGGTGTACGCTGAACTGTTTTTGTGTTTGAGGTCTCCGGTTCAAGTCCCCCCCCCCCCTCCCAAGTTAAAGATTTTTTTTCTTTGTATTAATTATATTCATAAGCATATATGTTTGTTTTTTTATACAACATGACTAGTCATGTATATCAGGAGTATAAAATATAAAACGTGACTCGTCATGTATATAAGGAGTATAAAATATACAACATGACTCGTCATGTATATAAGGAGTATGAAATATACAACATGACTCGTCATGTATATCAGGAGTATAAAATATACAACATGACTAGTCATGTATATCAGGAGTATAAAATATACAACGTGACTAGTCATGAATATCAGGAGTATAAAATATACAACATGACTAGTCATGTATATAAGGAGTATAAAATATACAACATGACTAGTCATGTGTATCAGGAGTATAAAATATACATGTGTACCACATGACTGGTCATGTTTATCAGGAGTATAAAATATACAACATGACTAGTCATGTATACCAAGAGTATAAAATATACAACATGACTAGTCATGTATAGCAGGGGTATAAAATATACAACATGACTAGTCATGTATATCAGGGGTATAAAATATTAAACATGACTCGTCATGTATATAAGGAGTATAAAATATACAACATGACTCGTCATGTATATCAGGAGTATAAAATATACAACATGACTAGTCATGTGCATCAGGAGTATAAAATATACAACATGACTCGTCATGTATATCAGGAGTATAAAATATACAACATGACTAGTCATGTATATAAGTATAAAATATACAACATGACTCGACATGTATATAAGGAGTATAAAATATACAAAATGACTCGTCATGTATAAAAGGAGTATAAAATATACAACATGACTCGTCATGTATATCAGGAGTATAAAATATACAACATGACTCGTCATGTATATAAGGAGTATAAAATATACAACATGACTCGTCATGTATATCAGGAGTATAAAATATACCACATGACTCGTCATGTATATCAGGAGGAACAATATTCTTTTATCTTTCTGTGTCAAGTTTTCGTTTTAGATAATTAATGTTTAGTTTTTAATATTCTAGCTAATTTCTAATTATGTCAACTTTCACTCAGATTCCCTAGAAATTTATAAAATCCTGATTTTCAAACCCCCTGAGCCGGTAAATTGACAGTTAGATGGGAAATAAATGAGAAAGCAACTGCATAACTATTTTTCCCCTGTAATATGCTTCTCAGAATTGCATGTCTATAATGGTATTTTATTTTCCCCCCTGTAGTTTGCTTCTCAGAATTGCATGTTTATAATGGTATTTTATTTTTCATTGCGTTGGGATTATTTTGTATAATTATGTATGTTTAGGGATGTGCGTCTATAAATGTGCTGTTTTGGCAACTGATTTTTTTTTTTTTTTTTTTTTTGGTTTGTTTGTTGTTTTTTTTTTTTTGTTTTACATGTAAAGATGCATTTGATTATTATGACTTTAAAGCGTATGATTTTGAGCAAGTAAACACAATATTTCTACATCGACCGTGCCCTATATCTTTCTCCAATAGTCGCCGGAACAGTCAAAATGCTGGGCTCTTTTTTTTTCGTATAGTTACATAGGAGCTGTTATATAGGGGTATAACAATATTTATTGATGCATTCCTGTACGCTTTTGACGTCTTTAATGCACTTTTCCGACGTACAAATCCATTTTCATTGTATGAGCTCTCTTTTTATATTCATTTTAATATTTATATATATTTGGTGTATTTCTGATTATATTCTCTTTCGTTATCTCATGTTTATTAATTTGTGTTTGGTTTCTATTTATATCTGATAAAATCCATTTGTATTCAATAGACTCATGGGATGTGTTTATTTTATGAATTGCTCTTAATATAACTTTCCCCGTAGAGAAATATATACATGCACGAACAACTCAAATGTTTTACAAAGGATCAAATATGTCACAGACACGGTTATAAAATTACACAAAGGAAATTGTTTTCTCGCGTGAAGTGTAAAATTATTTACCTGAACTTTGCGGTGCAAAATCTTATTTTTCACGAAGTAAAAATAATGGTCTATGGAAGAATTATTCATAAAAATAAAAAGAAAACAACAAACTCTCTAATAACAAGGTGCGATAGATCTGTGGAGATTCTCGAACCAATGATAACCAGTGCTGTAATTCAGAATTCCTAATTCAAATCTGTGCATGATTTACATTCAGAATTGATTTAACGTTAAGTTCACTAAGAAAGTCATTTTTTTTTATTTGTTGATAATGTCGTTGATACAAAACAAATTTTGAAAAATAGTTTAGTTACAGAGAATTCATTAGAATATTTGTAACTTTTTTGTACATGACTTTATAATACAGAATACAGAGATGTTTTGCAGTAAATGATTCCTGTATGTAGAGACAGTAAATGATTCCTGTATGTAGAGACTTTGAATTCAGATAATTACGTCTTGAGGAATTTAGTGGAACATTACGCTTCAGTTGTATCCAATTCTCCTAAGCCGCAGCTCTCATTTAAAGATTCGCCTCAATCGACATCATTATAGACATTGTACTAAAACATAAAAACCTTTACTATTTAGAACACAGTGATTGAGAATTAAACGTTATACACTATCTTCTCAGCATTATAACGTGTATATTATGGCCTCCCATTATTTCCAGTACTTTCTTTTTCATTACATGATATAATTATGCCATTATACTCTCAAATCGTAGTAAACACTTGTATGTGTTGCTTTGAATGTTAGATGTGTCGTTTATGTTAGAACAAATTAAATTCGTTTAAACGAAGCAAAGAATTTGTTATAACAAATTAAAATCGTTTAAAGGAGTTCAAGAATTTGTTGTAACCAAATAAATTCGTTTATTCAAATTCAGCAATTGATATACGGAATCCAATTAAATGGCAATCGATAAATAATTTTGAATTCGATATAATAAGTTTTATCGTTACAAGAATTCGTTTAAACGAATTTAATTTTTATATAAAAAAAAAATAATTAAGAATTCGTTTCACGAATTCAATTTGTTAGTAGAAGTTTAAGAAATCGTTTAATTGAATTGAATTTGTTGTATCAAATTTAAGAATTCATTCTAATACATTCAATAAATTTGATATAACAGATTAAAGTCGTTTTAACTAATTTAACAAATTTGTAATAGCAGATTAAATTTGATATTACCAAAAATTGACAAAACAAATTCAAATGATGGGTCCTAAATGGGCTTCCCAATCTTTATTGTACTTTTCAGATTCGATATGTTTTGTGTCACTATTCGATACGTTTCATTTTTTTAAAATAATGAACATGTAATCGTAATACGCAGTCCTTTTAGAATCATAGTCGGTAGATTTTTTTGCACGCTGTGATCATGTAGACCGTATATTATTGGTTAAGTTATACAGATCACTGTCTTCAATCTTCAGAAAGTTTGATCCTAGCTCTGCCTTTTTGGTATAAGAATTTTATTACAGGTTCATGACCCAAAATTCTCCTTTATAGACGTGTATTTCGTTGTAAAAAATAAACAAAAAAACAAAAACAAAAAACGAATAATCTTGTCAAGAAGGTCTTTCCCCAAAGGTAGCTTCCGGAAGTTCCTATACATAATCAAAAAATAGACATGTAACTTTGTGTTTAAATTATAGAGGATTAAACAGCAGCTAGCGAATATAACGATAAAACGAGCGGACATAAGATGTTTACGCTCATCACTATTGTCAGGGAAGAAACGCTAAATATGAAGACGAACACAGTGTATAAAGAAAATACTGTTATAATGGTATTCAGTAGGGAAAATTCCCGAAATCAAGAGTTTTTATTTTGATTTCAGCATGAGAAAAATCAGATAATGACCACGAGTGTTTGGCTCCGACAGGTAAGGACCACATTCTGACAGTATGATAGGTAAGATCAGAAAATAGTAGAGATCAATAATTAGTATTCTGATTTTCATCATTTTCAAATGTTTCCTTGTTTCTGTGTGTTGTAGGAATGGGTTGACCTTCGTTTACGGTGGGACCCCCGGTCTTATGGAGGGATTCTTATTACACACATTCCCTCCGAGGCGCTCTGGAGACCAGACATTGTACTCTATAACAAGTATGTCAAATACATATGTAAAGTAACATACATAGCTTTAGTTAAAGTGACACTGTGACGGACAAACGGGAAAATTGACAACAGTAGAATTTGTGCATGACACATGCAAATTTTGTTCAGTTCTTGAAGATATTAGGTTTCAGAAAATTACAGGTTTCAGAACCTAAAAAATCTAATTTGATGGAGAAAAATAAGAGTAAAAAAAATCTTGGTATAACCCATCACAAAAATATTGCTTCACGTCTTCCTCTTTATTGTACGCATGCGCTGAAAAGTTGAAGAATTTACAATGGTTTCAATTCCATAGATATAAATGTCGGATGACTGAGAATTTTGATACAATCTTCAAAAAAGATGATCACAACTTATTCGTTACTTCTGCTTGCCCCAATTCAATGTTGTTTACAAGTTTCACGCTAAAAATAAAGGACGCGTGACTTTGACATTGTGTTGACATTGACGATAAAAACAAAGCGATAGATACAACATTTGTTTTTCCGGGACTTATATTTTGCAGTTTTTTTTCTTGCTTTACGTGCAGTTGAGTTGTCAAAACTTCGCTATATTCATATTTCACAGAAATCTTTTGTTTTGTGATACAAATTTCTTAAAAGAAACACATGGTTTTGACTCATTATGCAACTTTAAGTACTCTACAAATAGTATTTAAAATACATAAGTAAAATAAAATCAATAAATATAGTTCGGTAATCTATAAAAAAAAAAATAAAAAAGTATGTAAAATACATACGTATGTGAAACACATAAGTATAGTGAGCTCGGTAAAACTTGTAAGTATTGGCGATATGATCGACAGTCTTCTGTTGTAGGTACAACTATTGAATGCGGTTTTCTAGAAAAAGACGTTAATGGTAACCTAACAACCAAGCTTTATGATAAACGCGATAACTTCAACTTTTCAATCGTCAACTTCCCTTACTTATGTAGCAATATACTGTAGATTCCTAAATACACGCGAGGAATAAATTATCGCGTAATTACGCGAGAAGCAACGCTCGCGAAATAAAATTACTCGCTTTTATTTTTATGGTGCTTTAATGTATGTAAAATCTCTTAGATAAATCACCCATTCGCGAATTATTATTCCCGCGATTTGACGCTCTTGGGCCATTTCGCGATATTAAGTAATGGCGTTAAATAAGCATATCGCCTACATATGGGGTTTATGTCTCTCAGTTGATTTGATACGCAGGAGTATGCTCTATGTACGAACAATTTCTAATCGTTCTAAGGCAAGCTATTGACAAACAAGTTGAGGAAACAAGAATATCAAAATTCTTGTTTAAAGTCATCATTTCGCAAGTTCTATGGTCGATACAATGACCTTGTCAGCAAATACAATCTATCATTAAGTCAAACGTTGACTGACGTTTTTCATACTAATTGTTAGACCATTATTTACACACTGAATTGTCTACTGTCTTTCCCGTGTTTTCCCGATCATGACAAGGAGCATACGGCGAGTGTGACCGGTCGACAGGGGATGCTCACTCCTCCATGGCACCTGATCCCACCTCCGATGTTTTAGAGGTCCGTGTTTGCTCTGCTCCTGATTTGTATTGTTTGAATGGACTGTCGAGCTTGAATACTGTTCGTTATTTCCGTATTTAATCCACATGTTCGTAATGAATGCACTTTAGTGTACTATCAATATCCTGACCATGTAGTTTTCAAATGATTCATAAAATTAAGTTTTCCTTCAGTAAATACCATTTAAGTTGGTAAGGTAAAACGGTTTCCTCTAAATTGATGTCATTTCTTAGTTAGATTAAGTTTAAAAAAAAATCATGGCAGTTATTCATTTATTGATTAAAGTTTTACGTCCCAGCGAAAATTTTCTGATTACATACTCCAATGAAAATATTAGTCCATTTCAGTGAATTCAATTGTTTAAAATGTCTAATCCAAAATGTTGTCTCATTCGGAAGATTGTGGTGTCCGGAATAGACAAGCTTATCTGTACTTTGAAATTTAAGGTCTCTTCTGAGAGAACCACAATGCTGAACATGTCAGCACCTTTAAAGAATCCACAGGTTTTGTGGGAATGTTTACATATCAATATATGTATATGATATAGTGTAGACCTGCTACTCTCAAATGTTATTTTAAACTTAAAAATGTCGAATACCTGATTGAGCCTATAATTCTATCCCCAGGGGCCATGGTTTGAATAGAAATGTATCTGTGCTATATTGGGTAATAAAGGCCTTTTTTGGGAAAAATACAACGAGGGTTTTTTTTCGACAAAGGGGCACGGTTATCTCTCGCCATAACGATGTGTTGTCTTTCAATTTTTTCCAGTGTATTAGCTTATATCACAAGAATTAACAATTGATACAAGATTGTGTTTTACAGTGTATTAGCTAATATCACAAGAATTAACAATTGATACAAGATTGTGTTTGACAGTGTATTAGCTAATATCACAAGAATTAACAATTGATACAAGATTGTGTTTTACAGTGTATTAGCTAATATCACAAGAATTAACAATTGATACAAGATTGTGTTTGACAGTGTATTAGCTTATATCACAAGAATTAACAATTGATACAAGATTGTGTTTTACAGTGTATTATTAGCTAATATCACAAGAATTAACAATTGATACAAGATTGTGTTTGACAGTGTATTAGCTTATATCACAAGAATTAACAATTGATACAAGATTGTGTTTTACAGTGCTGATGGGGCATTTGAGATTACTCTGCTAACGAAGGCAACAGTTCACCATACAGGACGAATTGTGTGGGAGCCGCCTGCTATCTATAAAAGTTACTGCCCCATTGACGTGGAGTTCTTTCCCTTTGATATACAAGAGTGCTTTATGAAGTTTAGTTCGTGGACATATGATGGATATGAGATAGATTTACAACACGTGTGTGATTCCCAGGCGGTGTATTACGAGGACACCAAGGTGAAGATCATTGACCGTGGCATTGATCTGAAGGACTTCTACCAGAATGTAGAATGGGATGTCATCAATGTAACAGCCCGGAGGAGCGAAAAATTCTACCCATGCTGTCCTCAACCTTACCCTGACATCATGTTCAACATCACACTCCGCCGCAGAACCTTGTTCTATTCTCTTAACCTCATCATGCCCTGCCTAACAATCTCCTGTCTGACTGTTTTAGTGTTCTACCTGCCATCAGACAGCGGGGAGAAGATCACACTCTCCATCTCTATACTTCTGGCTCTCACTGTGTTCTTTCTGCTTCTTTCAGACATCAGTCCACCTACGTCATTTGTGATACCCCTGATCAGTAAATATCTATTGTTTACGATGATAGTGGTGACGTTGTCAATCTTTCTTGCTGTTTATACGTTAGGTATTCACTTCAGGAGACCCTCAACTCATCGAATGAGCCCTTGGGTCAAACGAGTTTTCACCGAGATTCTTCCAAACATGCTACTAATGAAAAGACCAGATTTACACCGTAAATCCAAAGATAAACAGTACAGGAATGTGAATGGCATAGAAATGAGAGACGTGCGCGAGAACCACAACCACGCAAGGGTGGGATGGAATATGGATACCCAGGAAGGACTACGAGTCCGAAATCCTTCAGGAGATTCCACAGAAATCAAAAGATACCCCAAAGAAATCCGAGAGGCCATAGACAGAGTCAAGTTTGTGGCGGACCATCTTCGGGAAGCAGATGCAGACAATATGGTACTTAAATATCATTGTGCACATGATAGGTTGATTTCTTTACAAGAGTAAATAGATTATGCAAAGATATTAAAGTATTAGATAAGCATATTCTTCTTTTTTTAACAATGTTTTGTACATTACAGGAAGAAAGAGACTGGAAGTACGTTGCCATGGTGATGGATCGTTTATTTTTGTACATTTTTACTACAGCCTGTGTATGTGGGACACTTAGTATATTTTTGTATGCACCTTCTTTATATGACCCCCGGGGACCGTTAAGTCTCGATGATCAGTTCAACTGTACATACTAATGTAAGTCAATTACCTGTACAATAACAACTGTTAAATTAGCTGTGCATAAACAGTTGTACAGTAACTGTATATACAACTTAAATTAACTGTACATGTAAACTGTTAAGTAAATGTAAATTAACTGTAAATATACAAATAAAATTAACTCTAAATAATTAACTAAAGCATAAATTAACTGTGCATATACAGTTGTTAAGTAACTGTATATACAACTGTAAATTAACTGTACATATATACAACTGTTAGATAAGTGTACATACACAGTACAACTGAAAATTACCTGTACATATACAACTGTTTAGTAACTGTGCATATATGAGGGTTGGCTGGTGAAATCGTGGACAAGTTGTCTACAGTAAAAAATAAAATTTTCACTGCTCTTTAGTATATTTTTCATCGGGACTACCCTGTGCACATTGAAGAATAATAAAATCTTTATTCTTGTCTTTATTTTTCCACAAAAAAAATAAGGTATCGTTCAATATGATAAACATTTGCCGAAATTTTTAGCTTAGTGCGCGCATTATTTTTTCAATAAAAACGCATTCTTTACGATTTTACTGGACAACCTTCGTACAACTCTTAAAATACTATGCATATACAACTGTTTAATATTTGTACAGATAAAACTGCAAATTAACTGTACATATGTCACTACAAATTAACTGTAAATTTACAAATTAATGGTACATAAATAACTATAAATTAATTGCCTATAGTGAGACAACTGTAAATCAGCCATACATACTGTAAACCAACTATTATTCGCGTCATCTTTTATTTGCGATTCGGCAGTTTGAAATCAATCCGCGGCGATTATTTTTCGCGACTTAGGCAACACTCTCTACAAATACAAAACAAAAAAAATGGTTCGCGGCGATAAATATTCGCGAATTAAAGTTGGTTGCGAAATTCGCGAATATTTATCGCACTCGAATAAAAGTTGGTTTACAGTATTGACTGGCTATAAATTAACTGTATCTTGACGGAGACTAAGAAAAATGTACAGTTGTCTTAGTAATAACAATTTTTAAATTTACTGTAAATAAACGACTGTAAATTTGCTGAACAACTTCTAATGAAGTGTAGATTTAGTGAGACAATTGTAAATCGACTGTACATGCTGACTGCTGTAAATTTACTGTACAAAGATTAAAAGTCTAATTTAAAACATCAGAAATAAGATAGAGCTAATATGCTGCAGTGAGTATTGTTACACTATAAACACTACTTTGTCTTGCAATTATGGTTCTAAATAAAAGGTTAAACTTCAAATTTATGTGATAAGATTGGGTTTCTAGTTAGTGTTTGGATACACAATCATATATTTTCTAGAGGATTTTGCACATTTAGAAATTGTTTGCGTTTGTGAGGGTTTTTTTTTTTTTTTTTTTTTTTTTACATTTTAATATAACTGAAATTAAAAAAAAAAAACTAAAGATTGTCACAAATTCTCAAAAACAAACAAACAAACAAAAAAAGGGGTACATTGAAGGAAGATGGTTTAGTACTCATCGATTCAGTATTTGTGGGCTTGGAAGAGAATGTGAATCCTATCTTAAATGGCCTAATGGACATTTTTGATGTACATACAACGTAACAGAGCCATTAAGACTGATGTATAGCTCTTTTAACGAAGGTCAGTCCTATTATTGGGTTACATCTCTTGATTTACAGTTCGTCTCGGTCATATCAAAATTCATGGCGTCGGATAATTTTGAAGAGAACCAGGATCACGCACGCTTGTAGAACTGGAATTAGCCTGTGCAGTTCATATCTCATGCTCAGCAATCGTAATGTATCGGAGTGCTCGCGTACTATAGAATCAAAACTCTGTTATAAACCACAAACTTAATAATAATGTATAAATCTGCTTTCTAAAGTATTTGCTACTTAAGTTTTGCGAGCGAGTCTTCAGCAAATCATTTTCCTTAAAAATAATGTAGAGTTTTTCTTGAAATGCAGCCTAATAAATGATTTCGCAGTCTAGTTTCCATCACAGAAGTGTACATTGCCAAAGCGATGTCGATGTTACTTACGTTTTAAAATGCAAGCAAAGATTCTTTCATGTTAAGCTACACCTGAGCTCAGAAGCTTCCGGTCATAATTTTTCTTTCCACAAAAAGATCAATAATTGGCGCCTTCTGTTACCTCTAACAAAAGATGTATATAGAAATTTCTTCTTCTAATGCTATCAAACACTAGAGAGAGACAGTTAATTGTGGAAGAAAGCAAACGTAATTGTAGTCACTCTGAAACAGCTGTTTCATTTGTTGAACTCAAACTAAAAGATGATTTTGTATATGTTAGGTATTTATTGAGCATTCCGGACGTTGAACTAGGAATTTTATTTAGACATAACAAATAAGAGAGGTGTAAGGAGCAAGAACGTTTGATGTCAGGTGATTAGTGAAGTTTCATCTTCAAGGAAAGACATGAACAGCAGACGTCAGAGAGAAGCGATGTTTTATATCTGACACCGAGAGACAAACGGAATGCCTAACACTCCAACACCGCGCCGTCCTGAAGGTGAAGAAAGCATTTAACGCTATATCACATTAATGATACTGGCCGTGTTACCAGTAACGCACAACCTTCTGACCTTACATTGGAAAGTCAAACGTTTGTACACAGGCCCAGACGCGTTGTATTGTAGCTTACTGGATAAATCAAAATGAAGTTTAAGTACTCTAAATAAATAAATATTTAATTCGTCGGTTCATTAAATAACAATAGGATTAACATTGACTTGGATTCGCTTTAGTTGACAGTTGTGTCTCTAGAGATTCATTGGTCGATTAGTTGTACAGATCAGGTCATTGACGACCATGTACAGCCGTGTCGTGCAGTGTATACGGGGATGGATTTAATGGCGGTCCTTGTTTCTAGTATAATAGTCAGTCTTTTGGGATTAGTAACAAGCAGACATGAACCCGCGGAGAAAAAGCTTCACGAACACCTATTGGGTAAGAAGTACAGCAAGCTGATACGACCTACTGGAAACAACTCAGTCCAACTTACTGTCAAACTGGGCATGCGTCTGTCACAGCTACTGGATGTGGTGAGTGCGGGACTAAAGGGGGGGGGGTGTATATTTAATTGTTGATCAAAGGTGCATTATCATGTGTAGAAAGAGAACTTTACATACAGTTCTTTACATAAGAGGATCAATCAGAAAA